TATTTATTAACTTTTTATTGTATTACATATGAAATATAAGTTTCTTCGCTTGAAAAAATTGTTGTGTAGTTTATTATATGATATTGAACTTTATCGCGTTAGAGAATAACCGCTTGAATTATCGATATTTTAAATTTGCTGATTAATCTACCTCTTAAAATTACTTTTACGATAGGACAGAAAAACGGAACTTATATTGAGACTTTATTTCGACAAACGTAAATGTAGATGTAAAGTGATTAAAATTACACAATGTTCCCTAGACTATTATTGTAAATAATGTACACATTTTGCACTATTTAATGAGACATCTGCATACTTTTATGTAAGAATAATGTCGCGACAATAATCACAACATTTAAACAGCTGCTACAAATACGATAGTACGACCGTATAGAACCCTTAATAATCGTTGATCTAGATGACTGTCGCGTTATTTATCGATAAAAATTACGGAACAAATCTTCCTTAATCTATATCAAACCGGCGATTTCACGGTAATCACGTTGGAATTGCGTCGAATACAATCGCGATGATTAATTGTATTTTATCGCGAGTTTTACTCTATTCAGAAACACGACCGTGAGATACAAAAGCTTATCATCGTGTACTAGAGGATCTAACGTAGGTACGATTCAGTGATTTCAATTCAACTTTTGTGCGAAACTTTTCCACGAAACGCCACTATATTCGCAGGAATGCAAATAGTTAATTCTTCGATAAATTTTAATAATCGTTATTTGGTAATTAAATAAATGTTATTTGGTAATTTGTTATTAGATAAACGTTGTTCTATTGTAATTGAAATCGTAGGTTTCGTTGAAAATCCAGTCCAAAGTATGCTTCCTTCGTAATATTCTAAGTCCAAAATCCACAAAGGATCCTAAAAAATATCACTGAAACAACTCGGAACATAATCTGAGAAAACGTAGGAACGACAAAAGATATCAATATTTAGAGAAGAAAATTCGAATGCAACGTGTAAAGCTGACAGGGGAACGGATGAAAAAACGTCCAAAATTAGGAAGATACGCCAGAGGAGATAGGAAAGGTAAATGGAAGGGAGGGGAAAAAAAGGGAAAGACCAAATAAGATAAGGAGATGAGAGGCAACAAGTTTGAGGTGGAAGAAGAGTAAAGTTGCAGGGGAAAGAGAAACGGCGAACAAGAAAGACACGAACAAAGAGGTGGGAGGGATAGAATGTCGAAGGTAGGACTTTGACCGGCCGTTGCCCCTGATGCAGTCGCCTCCAGCCAGCAAACTCAACGGATCCTGCAAAGAAAATTCTGTCCTCTGACTTCTCCATTCGTACATGTTACTTATTTACACGCATTATACATTCAGTTCCATCGTTCTTGGCCTGTTTGTTACTGTCTGCTTGGCTGTTCATTTGTAGCATACAAAAACCATAAATCAGTTACAATGTAATTTCTAATTACTGCTTACATAATTCAGTTTCATTTTTTTCATGCAAAGATTGATTCATAACGAGCGATAATAAATGTTGCCTTGCTTTTTGTAACCTTTTAATCCTGTTTTTCTTTAAATATGTATTTAGATCGTTGAATACATAGAGAAGGAATTTAATGAAAATACAATTCTTACACTGGTTGATTCTTTATGTCCTAATAGAGACGTGATTTAATAATGATAGAAAATTAATAAAGAATTGTTTCTCAAAGCTTCTCGCTAATTATTTCTGTAACGTCATAAACAATGATTTTCTTTATCTTAGTATTTCCATTCAATGTTATCAACACTATTTTTATTTCGAATATTTAATGATTACACCTCGAAAGTTTACCGTCACACTAATTGTGTGTCCTACCTGAAGATAGCGAACATGGATTCCCTTTTTTTATAATCATCTTTTCGTAATACCTGGATCATATCGTTTTTCTTCTGGCAGCTGAACAAAGACATTGTTTCACGTTTTGCTGCATTCTTATTTATTATGAATACGTGACCATATGATACCACCATTTTACACATTTTTGTACTGCTCAATATTACAGACATTTTAAGAAACAAAGTCATATTGGAAAATATTTTCGTAATGTCTGGTCTTTTGATATTGAATCAAATTCTTCGGAATTAATTTACCATTAAATTTACTTATAAAATTTGCTGTAAAAAGTGATTAAGAAAATAACCGGAGGATAAATCTAGGATGACCCGCGGACGCAAGATAATGGCTCAATTTTACGTTAAGGATGAGATTTAAATTACTAATCGGCAAAATGAGAATAATCTTCGTGTCCCCTGATACAATAACGCGAACAGAGGGAACCGAAATTAGTTGGACCTCGAGCGTCGAGGTCCGTTTCCATGATCGTCAATCCCGAAGCAGTGTACATGCATGTGCAACGAACCCTCTGGAGATCGCATAGTTTTAATAAATTCCATCGATAGGGATCATGCAGGGTCATGAAAGCTTAATCGAAGGTCGTAGTGGAACGATATTTCTATTAACGAAATACCATGATACATTTCTAGTTTGAAATTTCTATTATTAAATCGAAATTTTATATCATCCCAAGAGATTAATTTTTACGATTCAATTTTTCCACTTTATTTAAGTTTGCAATCAATTTAAGCTATTATTAAAATATAATTAGAAAATTAGATATTTCGCAGAATTATCCTAGGATTAGTAATTCATAAAGTGTAAATATTTCTCTTATTCACTCCGTATTAGTTACAATTTTTCAAATTATTCCTCTTTACGTATAGTAAATAAAACTAGTTATAAAACTACGAAAATACAAAGCTGTACTTAAACCCTATATAATATATAGCATTTAACTGATCTACGTTTATCAGTACATAGCAAGATAATACAAACTCCATCGATCCTTTCATATAATAGTAAGATAACCAACGGACGCGTTGGACAACTTTGGACACGTTAAATTAGTCGAATTATTGTTTAATTACTTAACGTTGTTTATTCAATTATTCCACGTTTCTCAAAAACATATTCGTATGTTATACAGAAATTGCGCTATGGCGGTTATTAATTATCTTTATTGAAAAAATTAATAGTAAACGACAAGCTAATTGTGAGATATAAGTCTTATAAACCGAACAATTAATTAAAATTACCGCTATCTTTAACACACGAGTTCCTTTTCCCCGTGAACGACTTTACTTACCCATCATAACCTATAGCGTAAAATTAATTAAAGCATTATACGTGGGTAATCTCGACGGAAGGAGGCGCGATCCTGAAATTCAGGAATCATGGAAAGCATTGATTACTCGCTGACGTTTTATTTGTTTAATCCCATAGAACATTTTTACGAAAATATAGGATTATTCTGGCAGTACATTGTCGATCCTCGAAGAAACATGATGAGAACGCATATATATGTCAAAAGAAAGTTAATTCACAAAGTGTGCGCTGTTCCTGTAATAGAAAATTTTATAAAAACGCATTTTTTTGTCGCAACAGCGGGAACATACATTTTTCGTCTTACTATAGTAAGTAGTAACTATCATTATCAACGAGTAAAGAACAGGATATTAATAATAGGGAAAAAAATAACATATCAATTGTCATTACTAATCAATTATCACTCGTTCTTCCAGCAAGTCAACTAGCTGGGATCTTTATAATTCTATATATATATATATAATATATATTTTTCTTCATATATAATAATTGTTTCTCATATCTTATCGCTTCTACAGGCACGAGGAAGCACGTGCATACAACGTACATGTATGATTATAGTAGATATACATATTACGTTCCTGCACTAAGCAGCATGGACATTCATTAGAATAGAACAATGCACCGACACTATTACTATCTACGAATGCGATTCCATCACTCATTACACCATATGCGTATGAAATAGGCACTTTTCTTTCTTCCTCCCGATTATTTTATAATAACAATTTCAACGCTAATCTCTACTACTCTCGTAGACTTATCGTATTTAACACGTTCCGTGCCACGTAAGCTTAAAAGGCAAAGTTGTTTTTCCACATGAAAATTGAAGGGCAAGCATCTATCGTGCGTTAGAGTAATATCCATTAGAGGAAAATAGAGATTTTACTGATACGCTAATACATATTAATAGTTTGTACGTTCTTATTAAGCAATTTTGTTGTGCGTTTAATAGCTTTTATTAATTTATTAATTATCATCGATGACTAATAAGCTATGTAGAAAGGAACATGTTAATTAGTTACAGCCTTTGGAGTACTCTTGGTTCCTCGAGGAAGTTTGATTGAATACTCGGCGTCCAAAGGCACTGGAACTAAAACATAGCTTCTCAGCGTCTTTTGATTCTTCAAATTCCAGTGAGTTATCAAAAAGGATTTGATGTATTTCGACAAGAAAAGAAGTAAATTGCAGAACTTTTTTCTTACTCTCAAGTTCTCTGAATCAGAAAATTAAATATATGTCTGTGTATATGTGTGCGTGAGAAGATAACGACTATGATTATTAAAATTATCAATATAAAAAAAAGTAAACGGGAGTAAACTGACGGTTTATAAAGAAAAGGAACAAACACCTCTGGGGAGATATTATGCGAACGAAATTAATCAAAATCGAAAAGGGAACACTGGCATGAAAAGCAAGAGAGAAGGAAGTATATATATAACATATTTATATGTATAATATATATACATATATGTATATATATGTGTATATATATATATATATGTAATAAGTGTAATGAGAGAAAGTTCTAAATTCTATTCACGTGTACAATCCTAAATATGATAGATACAAAATACAAAAATCACGATGATGTGGAGTGTTTCGATTACTTGGCAGTCTTACTTTGAGCATGGATCCCTCAAGAAGAATTACATATTACTACATTTGACAATGAGAATTGGTATGCGAAAAACGATTATCTGAGCTCTCAAGCTCGCGCGCACGTTTTCCATTTCTTCCCTTTTAAATTCTTACCAGCTAAACGTACGTTATCTTTATTGTCTTTTATTTCTTCTTAAAATAGTCTTTTTCTCGCGTCTATTCCTTTTTTTCTTTAGAATTTCACTTAGGTCGCATATAAAGGACGGTATTACAATAATTCCGACACTAACGACAATTTTAAGGTAGTAGTTTCAAACGTTTCAAATAGGAGAAACGGAAATGATGGACGAGCAAAAGTAACACTAAGAAAGGATGGAGAAAAAGAAATCTACGTATGTTCATCGATGAAAGTCTGTAGACTTTTTTTGACGCTTCTTCTTTTTTTTCTTTTGGTCCCTCCATGTATAGTAAAATATATATATATATATAAATGTATATAACATTCTAATTATCGCAATGTGTTAAAAGTATTAATAGAGAAAAAGCAAGCGAAAATAAACGTTCAAAGGAAATTTTTCGTTACAGCATTTTTTCTTTCTAAACTACCCGTCTGCATGGCTGCCCTTCTCCCTCTCACTCGATCTCATTCACTCTTCTCTCTCTCGTGCGTGCTCTTTCCCTCTTTTTCTCCTCTTCTCATTTATTTCGAACTCCCTCTTTCTATATATATATATAATATAAATTTATATATATTCTCTATTTTATAAGATATTCTACAATGTACAAGATGTACGCCTACGATATGAGAAAATAATAATATGGTAAGCAGAAAAATTACATTTCTAGGAAGACGAAGCGACGCGTCGTTCGATTCTCGAACGAAGAGTGGGGTCGATGAGGGACCATTTAATCTTCGCGACAAACCTGCACAACCCGACTTTTCGATTTCTCCTTCTCTCGTGCATTGTTTCATCCAACAATAAGAGAAAAAAAGAAAACAGCAAAGAATAATGGAAGGACGCATCCATTCGAAGCAAATAAAAAAAAAGCAAAGGCGCTTGTTCTGAAAGAAAAAAAAGAAGACAAAAAGAGATGAAATGAAAAAAAAATGCCGAGAAAAGGAGAATGGCAAGAGAAATGAAAATGTCGTGTCGTCTCCCATTTTATATCACACAATCGAAGTTTCTCTCTACAAAGCCTCCATGTCTAGGAGCAATTTAATACTTGTAAGCTCTTTCTCCCTCTATCTCGCATGTGTATAGGTATATAGCTATATATGCGCGTGTGTGTATGTACGATATGTATAATATATATACACACACATATACATCCTCGTTATATTTGTGCTACCAATGCTTGTAGATTTATCGAGCGATATCGACCGAGCAGATGGGAAACATTATTTTCGCGAATAAAAACGATGACGTTAGAAAAATGAAAGCAAATATAAGGTATTCGTCTTATTGTTTCTTAATATCGATAACGATATCACGGAACAGCATGGCGCAATTTTTGACATTGTGTACATTGGATCGTAAATTAGATTTAGTTACAAAAATGTGTAGTATTAAAAAAGATACTAAAAGGAAAAAACAATGATCTATGGATGATATCGAAGTCAAAGGATTCAAGGAAATTACGTGACGAGGCTATGAGTAGGATCGAACATGTATCTATGGTCGCTAGCTATCGACAGAAACTATTGATAGTCTCGTGTATACTGTAGTGCAGATGGAAATGAATGTATTGTTTAACTGTTTAACTAAAAAAAAAAAAAAAGAGAGAGAGAGATAGAGAAAGAGGAGAGAGAGAGAGAGACAAAAAAGAAAAATGATTAATTTCTTCATTTGCTTCGCTTGATATGTTATGTTAAACAGAACTTGCACTTCCGATCGAGAATTATCATGTAACGATCGGTAAGGCAACTCACTTTACACGTATGCCAAATGAACTACGAAAAATTTGTCCAAAATTGTTGGAATGCGCGTATACGTCCCATATATATGTTACAGATACGAAAAATAAACGTAATTCAAAATGGCTTTGATCTTCAAATAACTACATTAATGAAAATACGGTAAACTACAACTTGATTCGACTCGACTAATCGGATCTGTTGATGAATCGAATAGTAAAAACGAAGAAGCGGGGGAAAAGAAAAGAAAAAAGAGGAATTCTAAGAATGTATGTAAGAAACTAGACGGATTCTTTGCCCTGTAGTTTCGTGGCAAGATCGACGACGAGCTGCTGGTACACCACAGGATCTATGTTCTTGCCGAGCTGATAAAGAACGAACCAGTCACCGATCTGGCACTTCTCAGCGATGGTTCCGATATGCTCCGGCTTGGAGAGGCGCGATCGGGCACGCAAGAGCACTAAGCGAAGTTTCGGCCCGGCTACTACCGCGGCACGGTACGCCAGGGTCAAACCGCTCAACACCGACAGGATGATGAACCAGAACCAGAGGAACACGTATATCTTCTCGTTGACGATGTTTAACGGTAACACGCAGAGACCATCGAATTTCTGCACCGTACCGGACGCACCATATTTGTGGAAGGTACATTTGGTCACTTTCGGGAATACCCGTGACATCGGGTCGATCCTCTCCTCAGGTTCCATTTCTGTAAATTTCACCACGTCCGAGCCATAGGTGGTGAACTCGCCATCCAAGAAGAAGTCCATGAAGTAGATCTGGCCGACTACGTTAACGAAATTTAGCACTTCGCAGAGGAAGAAACGGAATGCGTAAAAATTCTGAGTGTGCCAATTCGAAGCGAAATACTCGACTAGTAATTTCCTTCTTTCCGATTTGCATTCGTCGCTCATTACTGGGCAATTTAGGTCTAGAACTAGCATCTTGATTCTACCACCTTCCCAAGTCTTCCACAGGTAACGTGGCACGTAAAATAATATCGCCTGGAAGAACAGCGTGAAGCACACCCACTGATAATATTTGTGGTACTTGATTTCGTCCTCGCCATCGACGTGGGACGCAACACCTGGTTGCACTATGTCTTTGCCGACTACGCCAGTTCGATCAGGGATCGTGAACGTCGAGTAGATCCAACAGTAAGTGTCCATCACGTGAAGCGGTATTTCGTCCACGATACAGTCTATAGGGTCTCCGATATATTGCCTGGACGTGACCAATAACGAAAAAGCAATTAATATGATCACCGTAGCTTTGTAGTGCAGCCGGAAGACATTATTGTCGATGCAAACGTTGTCTAGCTTGAGCAGTCCCTTTACTGAACCGAATACGTCAAACATGGTTGGCTATTTTCCTTCGAACAGGTACTACAGGAGAGAAATCGAGCGATTTATCCCAATCGCAAGTTTTACTTTACTATTTACCAATCAAACCGGACACTCGGGTTGTTGATGACCCGCGCGACGTGACGCCGCGCGTCAAGAGGCGTCAAGAAGCGTCCCTGGGCCTCCCTGCACACGCACAAAAACAAACAGCGTTCAAAAAATTCGTTTATCGCGATAATCGTTGTATTTCTATTCGTTACCGATTTATCTATCACTGAATAAATTTCGTTTACCGAAATCTCGTTCGAATTTCCGAAAACACGTGTGTTCCGTTCCGATCGTTCCGTGACCACTGCGCGCGTGAGCACGGCTCTACCGCAGCAAAGCGTCACCGAGAGCGGTTGTGTCGTAATGGCTGCGTTCAGAAACGCTCTACGACACGAGCACACGAGGACATGCCGTTCCGTAAGCTGCTTCCTTTTGCTCTTCTCTCTGTCTATCTTCTTCTTCGTCGATTCGCTTCTTCTCTCTTGCGTATGTATACCGTATAACGTCTTATCTCTGTCTCGCTTGCAGATTATATACAGCCTGGTTGGGGACGCTATACTATACGTTTACTTCTGCTGCACACCAAGATTCTATCCCCACTTACGGACACGAGAAAACTCGTCTCTCTTTCTGTCTCTGTCTGTCTTAGGTTCTCTTTCACACTCTTGTCCCTTTACTATAACCTAACCCCACTTTTCGTCTCTTTTAACCGCCGCGTCGGCCCGGATCACAAGAAACTTAGGCCCATCGTTCGTATAGGTTCGATTGTGCTCGGCTAACATCGGTTCCAACGTTCCAGCGAAACCTCCAGACGCATATACGCATGCGTAATCGAAAAAGCAACCCACGCCACTCTCGTGTACGATCTTATTTAAATTTAAGAATAATAGCCATGAAATATTTGTTTAGAGCGTTACTATAAACATTTACATTACAATAAACGTAGTTTCTTTCGTTTAGTAAATTTCGATTATTTAATCAAAAGTTTAAATGCTGTCTCTTCAATTGAAGGCTTGTGAAGAAAGTTTTGAAAGAATATACGCTGCTTAAATAGAATAACCAGTCGAAAATTGATAATTGTAAATTACTTCTTTATTGGTAATAGCGTCATTTACCTTGTTTTCCATCTCATATCGTTAACTCCATTCTCTTTAGTTATTTGAGTACTACCGTTTTTATATAGCTTAATTTTTATCGAATCGAATATTTTAGAATACAACGGAAATATTTGGCATGAAAATATTTTGTAATAAAATCATATGCTTGAATTTTATTAAAGCAAAATATACAAGGGATTTAATTCAACAGGATTATTAAAAAAAGCTCGAAAGAGGTAATCGGAATAACTTGCACTATATGTATTATATGTTTCGTATTACAAATACCAGACTTAACATACCACTTTCTATCTGAAGTTTTGCACCGTTCTAGAATGATACTCTGTAATGAATAGTAATTATCCCTAACAAATAATTTTTATTGACTTCTATTACTCCACGGATTACTTAAATTAAATAAATAGGTAAAAGCTACTTTAATCTCAAATCGATATGTAGATTAATTACTATTTAATCTGAAATCAGCAGACGCTGATAATTAGACAAATTAAATCGCCTTTATAGTAAATTATGTATTACGAGTACACATGATCTGTTCATACACATTAATAGAGGTAGTCAATCACAACCTTATATTCTTTTTATCACGAATATTTGTAATGTTAGTATTATGCTTAAATGTCATTATCTATTTCAGTTATGCTTTATCGATAAAAAGATTCTCTGACATTGCATTCCAGTGAACTCTTTCTATAAATTGATTTTGCTATATCATATCCTTATCTGCAGCTGACGGTAAGTCTCCGGTAACGTAACTGTATCTCTATTTGATTGTCACGGATCTGAATCGTCATTGGCATTCTTGGAAGAATAGCTTTAAAATCTGAACATTAATAAATATTAATAAATATTAATAAATACTTACGTCTCTTAATGGCAAACAGATTATTATATATTGTTATATATTGTTATATTAGGTTAGTTATACTGTCTTGCAGATACTACTAGACAAGCATTACAATCACAATTACACTCTTTACTGTCAAAGTATTATGGGATTTATTTTATTTAAGCAAAATTATACAAACAAATACAATTTTAATATATAATATAAATACTATTATACACTTTGTACAAGTATATAAAAAATAAAACCAAGGTCGGTCCTGTGGCGCAACGGATAACGCGTCTGACTACGGATCAGAAGATTCCAGGTTCGAATCCTGGCAGGATCGGAATTTCTTTTTTCCTAAAACATATTTCATCCCTTAAATGATAGAATCAATATAATTTTAGGTCAACTGTAAACAATTAATTATTTTTATAATCCGATACTGCATTTCTTTTTCTTTTTATCTCACAAACAATGTCTCAAATATATTTTTTTTCTTTTTTTTCTTCTTTTTTATTTATTTATTTTTTTTTTTCAAAATTAAAGCACTTACATCTTACAAGAAATACATTTGTCATATATCTATCTTTACTGGATTATTCATGCCATCTTAAGCTGAAAGCAGTCGGATAAAATAGAACAAGTATTTTGTTTCATAGTTGATCATGAATTGTATTAAGAAATGCTTTGGATATTCAAATTGCGAGTCAAAACATTTTTATCGAGAAAGTTCATTTCCCTGTCTTAACCTTAATCATTCATTTTCAGTCTCTTCTAACAATACAAATCGCAGTTTGACTGTACTTTCTCTTACTGATTAACTGTTAAGCAGGTAAACCTTAGTTATTCGAAAAGCTTAAGAGAAGGATCGGCGATAGAATGCAGATACGCGTGGAAACGTCTATAGTCAGTACGATCTTCAGCAATACATGTCATACCTACTCAATTCGGAATGACTTGAAGGAATATATTATGATATCTAGTTCGCGAACAAATGCCGGAATCGCTGCTATTAATAGCCACGGGCCGATCCTGAATTCCAACGAAGGTAACACGGTATAGAAGGATATCTACTTAATGCCCTGGAAACTAATTGGAAGCGAGCGTAGTCGGTGGGTCAAATAAATTAACCCAGTATGCACACGAAAACCGGTTGCAAGACAGTGTAAACCGAGGACTATCAAGGCAAGTACGAAGACGTTCCTTCACAAGGAATCTTTAAATTGACAGAATAATTCTGCTTTTATGTCGTTCAAGTATCGAATTACTAATCTAATCTTTTCCCTTATTATTAATGATTCAGTAAAAATATACCAAATATTACTTCTTCAAATAGTTTTAAATTAAACATAACTTTATAGGTAACATCTTTTGTTCGAGGAAATGATTTCATTGCGAATAGGAATCGTGAAGATAGATGGATCGAATAATGATTTAAGAATGCATGAAGGTTCGATGATCGTTCGTCACTGGCCTGGATTATACCGCTGCTTGCATTTTATTGTGCATTACTCAGCTCTCTCGAACGAAATATCCGTTGAACCGACGGATTTTTGACTGAAAAAGGTTTCTCTTACCTGTGGTCTGTGGGTAGGCGTTGACGTGGCACGATACTCGATACATCAGCTGCTGCAGACCTACCTGTGACTTCTCCGTGGAGAATGGCGCGCGTTACAGAAGAGTGGGGCCAAAATGAAGGGACCGGTTTTTCTGGTTTTCAATATCTTCGACCCTCATACTCTATTCTTGTTACTTTCGTCACGATCGTGCTATAGGATATGTATGTATGTGTAAAATATGTATTTTGAACGTATGTATATATATAGTATACATATGTACTATATTTCATTCCCATTTTACGCCCTCCTTTGCCAAACATAATTTTTCAACTTATTCACTTTTGCTTTAACTGAGATACAGGATTGTCGAGTTATTCTAAAATTTTCTAGCACCCGAGAGAAAAAAATCGTCTCAACTCATGCTGTATACGATTGAGCTATAACGAAGGGGACATATAGCGTCTGATATTGATCACATTGTTTATGTTTCCTTACTTAATGAATTAATATCGTTCCACTAAAAATTCAAATGTACATATATACTTACGTATATTTAATGATTGTTTTACTTGAAATACAATTAGTGAGATTCCTTTTTAGAAATATTTATACCAGGAAATATTACATAAAAAGTCAAATCTTTCCAATATGTTTAATTAATTAATTAAAAATATTTTTATTTATTTATTTATCTATGATCATATTGTAAACTTATAATAAAATTAAAATGTGTTCATGTAAATCAAACTATGGTATAAATTGAGATAAACTTGAGCGTAAATAGGATAATCAGTCACTTAAATATGTAACATTCCGAATGCTTACTCTATGTTGCAATAAAATTATGTAAATGACCAGAATCCTTCAATCATTGACAGAAGGCTTAATTGTAAAATTATTATCTTAAAATTCTATTAAATTAAATTAAATTAAATTAAAATTCTATAAGTTTTAATGAATAATCGACTTAAATTTTGCTTTCATTGTGCAAATCGTATCATCCAATTCCTAGAAGTGAAAGTACATAATTATGTATTGCAATCTGTTGTAAGTTTCATAGTCATGCGCATGTAACAGTAGCGCAATCTACAATCAAGGGACAGTCACGATATTTAATACTAGAGTTTCAAAGAATGTACAAGTAATTTTTATTACATGACGGAACATTCAGTGAATTATATCGCAACTGTTGAAATAAACTGATAAATCGCATTCTTTTGGTTAAAACTCATTATCTGTTTAACGATATCGTGAATTTTATCAAAAATTCGACGATGTGATGTTAGAGAGTGTCTCCAATAAGAACATAGTTATCGTTACAATTAAATTTTTCTTGTTTGAAGTTGGGACGTATACATGAATATATGGATTAAAGATGTCTATTTCGGTAACTACTAATCGATTCCTTATGGTGTTAATGAATTCTCATTACTATTTATTCAGAATTGCATTTGTTTGGTTTTAGGAACAGGAGATACTCTATACTCCTAGCAAATGGAGTAAGAGGTTCGATCAAATGCAAATATTATCAAATTATTATAAATTTGCTAAAAAGAGTAAGTTGAAATTAACATGAAATCGAATTAAAGTAAACAATAGTTTATTTATATTATTATAGTTACCGATGATGCTCGTAAAAATTGTAAATGCGAATTAAATATTCCGTATGGAACAACAGAACGAACTAAATATGATATCTATGGAGCTGACTTGCCCAAAGGTATGTTATTCATGTTACGCATGTACGCATATTAAAGGTTTTAAATTTTCAGTTTGTTTCAGTTTTTTGCAGTGTAAATAATTTTAAATATTTCACTTTAGCTTACTTCCATTATGGTATTTTGAACAATACATGTTTCTTCCAGATTCCCCCATATTTATATTCATTCACGGTGGTTATTGGCAAGAAGGTAGCAAAGATTTTGCTGCATTTACAGTTCCTGTCTTTGTTAATAAAGGAATTAAAGTAATAACCATTGGCTATGATTTATGTCCTAATGGTAAACTGTATTTTTTTCACATTTCTATCTTTCTCTAGATACAAAATTTTAAAAAAATATTTAAAAAATATTTTAATTAATATTTATATTATATTTTAGTTAAATTTGGGGATATAATATCTCAGATAAAAATAGCGATTAAACATATATTAAACTGTGCATCGAATCTCGAATGTCGGTAAGATGCACATAATACTTACATGATAATTTTGTTAATTTATAATATAATGATAAAATTGGGTGAATTCTTATAGGAATGTTTGGCTCTCTGGTCATAGCGCTGGCGCACATTTAGCGTCCAGCATTTTGTATGATAAATTATGGTTAGATGAAATGACGAAAAACGGATACTTAAATCTACTAAAAGGTATCGTGTTAATAGGAGGTGTTTATAATTTGAATCCCCTGCTCGATACAAATATTGTTACGCCTTTGAAACTTACAAAGTAAATATCTGAATACTTATATAGACTATTTACTTTAGTTCATAATAATATGTAACATATATGTTTTAGAGATGAAATCAACACATATAGCTTTACCACTCTTGATACCAAAAATAACACACTCATCCAAGGGTTGAAAGTTATTGTAACTATTGGGGAATGTGATTCACCAGGACTTATTAATGAATCACGCGAGTGTACTCAGGTACTCGTGTTATTCTAAATAAATAAGTGACAATTTTTTCCTGCTCTAAATAAAAATTTGTAATCTTATATTCTTTTCATTCTAGCAACTTATTACAATAGTAGACGATGTTCATTATATATTTCTTCGGGGAAATATTGACCATTTTAATATCATGGAAGAACTCACGAATGAAGAATTTATTTTGACAAAAGTGATACTAAATAACATCTTTCATGAATGAAAAAGAATAATTTAATAACATAAAATCAGAAAGAATATAGAAATATATAATTTTAATGCAATCAGATAAATTTATAATATTTAACATATAAAATTTGTATATATATATATTTTGATATTCGTAAAAAATTTATTTAATGCAATATATCAGTATACTAATACATTGTTGCTAAATTACAAATTGTTTGTAAAAAAGTTATTACGTTTATTTACTCTAGACTGTCTATTGGTCATCTGTCATTTGTTAATTTTGCATAACAATGATCACGACGAACTGCTTTTAACTTTTCTATGAGTCATTTAGATTGTGACGTTGATGAAAATGTCTTTGGACGTTGCAAAGTATTTTCCTTTTGTTTCATGGGTAGCACTATCATTTGATTAGACCGAAGCACAGAACTTGTGCTTTTTTGTTTCATTTGTGAATTCTGTATTTGATTAATATTTGTTTCCTGATTAACTAAATTTGATGATATATTATTTATACTTGTAAATTTTGTATTTTTATCTATTGCTTGCGGCGAAGATATGATCTGACCGCTTCCTAATTTAGTTACATTACGCGAATCCATATTTTTAGTATTCAATCTTACATAATTATTTGTAATATTTTTTACATTAATTATGCTTTTACCTGTTGGTATTACAAATGTCTTGCAGTTACCTTTTACAATAGGAATTACCTGAATGGTACGAACCGAATTTTCTTGTGTAGTATCTTGTGTAAGATCTATTACATTTTTAGCAGTTAATGTCTTTAATGTATCTTCACTTTCATTAGATTCACCTACTTTCTCTTGTCCATCTTTCCATGTAATCGGAGGTTTAGCAAAAGAGCGTACTCGTAACAATGGCTTTTCTTCTGCTTCTTCTGCTTCTTCTGCTTCTTCTGCCTTATCCTCTAGTGACTTGTCATCCATTGGATTTTCACTTATTATATTAGGATCATCCTCTACAACACATATATGTAATAAAATCTACATGTTTTTGTTCATTCTTCAATGATTAACTTTTTTTCATCACTAACCTTTTGTTCTGTCAATAAGAATTTTATTATCTGTTGTGGTTGAGAATGCTATATTAGTTGTAATATTTAAATGCTTTGTCACATTAGGCGCTGATATTGTGTCATTTTGTATTATCGACTCCGATTTAAAATCATTTTTATAATTAGATGTATTCACAAAATCGTTAACTTTACTTGATTTTAAATTGTCACCCTTATGATCTTTTAATCTATCATTGATTTCTTGTTGGTATATTTCTCCCATTTCTATATCGGAGTTAGCTTCTCCTGTATTAGATTTGGCTTCTGTATTTGTTTTATTTTTAGATGTTTCACTTCTATCAGTACTATTCTCATCTTCCGATGAACTACTTTTATCGTTATCTGTATCCAGATTTACATCAATGTCACTAATGCCATTATCGTCAGCCTCATCATTATCATCATCTTCTTCTTCATCATCATTATTTTCTATGCTATCATCATCATCTTCTTCATTCTCTGATCTTTTAGGATGAGTAATCTGATCTTTCATTTCTTCTTGTTTCTTTACATATTCCTCAAATGTATCTGATAGTTTCTTCTCACCAATTCTCTTGTTCTGCATTAATTTTTCAGCTAATTCCATATCCTTTAATGCAGGATCATCTTCTTTATTTTCAAGAAATAATGAAAATGTATCCCAATAATCATTGCGTCTACACCTTTGCAAATGTTCTCCTAAATCGATGAACGCCTTTTTTGCTATAAAAATTAACAATACATAAAGATTAAATTTAATTATTTAAATTATAGTAATTACTAGTGAAATTATAATAACTTACCAATCTCACGCAGTTTTTTATTATTCAAACCTAAATTATTTGTATCATTACATCTTGTCACGCATTGTAAAATATCATTGTAATCTGGGAAAATTAGTGCTTTTGTAAAATCACCAATTTTCTTCAATTTGTTTCTTTTTGATATTTTAGAATTAATGAAACTTGTAATAGCATTATTTACAACAACAATACTAGTTGTACTGAAGTCTTTTGGTCTTAGATATTGCCGTTCTGCATCAATATTTCCTCCAGTATATTCACAGTACTTATTATACAGTTCCACCATTCGATGTTTATATTTTTCTAATTTTATATAATTACTATTTTCTTCATCATCAAAATCTACTTCTAATTCTTCAAAATGTTTTATATACTTTTCACATTTTTTCATTGCATTTAAAATTTTTCTAATTTTCTTTTCTGTAGCAAGTTCTTTTTTTTGTTCTTCTTCATTATCTGCGCTAGTCAACAACATTTCGTTATCATTAATTATACTATTACTAGTTTGTGTCATATTTGGACACATTCCAGTAGATGCATTGGAATTATTTAGTTTACAATCTCTATTTGTTTTGTTTACATCAGAAAAATAATCTCTATTTGATAATAATGTCGACTTTCCTTTACAGCAATTTTTCATTTCATTCATTACTTCAGCTATATATATGTAAAGTTTACAATTACTCTCCATTATGTCATTTCTCTTTCGATTTAAAAAATTATTGAAAGCTTCAGAATGAGCATATACAGGATCCAACTGTTCATAACGTCTTTTTAATTTATTAACAATCTTTTTCATATCATCAGAACGATCTTTCTGTAAACATAAACTAATAAACATAGAGAATATATCCTGTTCCATAGAAGAAATAGTTTTCTTCTCCTTTACAACCAACTGTGGTTTCAATAATATTTTATTTTCTTCTCTTCCTTTTTCTGTTTCTTCCTCCACCTTCACATTACATGCTTTAACATTAGCTTCTTGAGAATTAACTTGAGAATTTTTGTCAATACAAGAACTATCAACATTTTCTATTTCAGATGCTTTTCTTTTACGTCTTTTTACTGCTTCATTGTCACACAAGGAAGCTTCTACTCTTATAGTAGTTATTAAGAAGTTAGAATGGGAGTTATGACTATCTTTTACTAATTTGATAACTGACCTTTGTGTTTCATTAGTTTTATTCTGAAACAATAACATTTTGAACTCTAAATGTCTTTCAACATGTTCATAACTTATTAAGCATAGATACATCACATTATAATTGCTAAGAATTTACAGTTGACATAATTATATATATTTTAATGTAACAAGATATACGAACCTGTCTTGCATCTTCATCATCATCTGATGAGATACAAATAATGTCATTCTCCTTACTAACCATATTTATTATTTTATGAAAAAGTTAGATTATAATATTACAATACATGACATCCATCACTTATCTTGCTGACAAAAAACGATAATATAACGATTAATTCTATTACAATTGCGTCAAAAGCCTTTCATTGTGTATACATACTAGCGTTTGTTTAAAAGTATATACACGTTTCTATTTAGCCTGCTATAACATCACCTTATTTTTGTTTCCACTTTAACAGTATAGATAAATTTGATCAAGTAAAACTAAAAGTATGCAATTCAATATTGATTTAGATGTTTTCATTGAAATCTTTATCTTTAAAGGTTAACAGTTGAAGAAAAATTCGAAATTGTATTCTTAAAAATAAATAATTCTTATATACTATATTTACAACGTTACAATTAATTATTAGCCTTTAGGGACTTTACTTCCTCACGTTACGTACCACCTTAATCACGCAACTTTAAGTTTTATTGGAAAAATTTTGTCAAAACAGTCTATAGGAAAGAAAACTTAAGAAAAAATGGAATAACACCGTTCTTCCGCAATTTTGTAAACTATTGTCATAAAGGAAAAAATAAACCAGTAGAAGATGATAATACCTGTTTTAGATAAATTTTATCCAAGAAAGCGACTACATAAAACTTTAGAAAAAAATAAAATAGAATATTAGAATAATTTTTATTGACGTTAGGCTATCAGAATAAAATATAAATTTCCAATATTTCTATAACGATACAATGTTTTACGTTAGTGTTTTTATTACTATTTAAGGTTAATCTAACACTAATTTTAGGGTCAAACCTAAACGATTTTCTCATAGCATTATTAAGTTGGTACGAGTAGAAACTTTAAAATAATAATTAGAAAAACTTATTCGCACAATAAATATCGAAATATTGTACTTGCATCTTTGAATACGATACATTATATTGATGAAAATTTAGAATCGAAGTTTTCTTATACATTTTATTTATGTTAATTTCTTGATTATTTCTTTAACTTCTTGCCTCTTAGTCCTTAATACTTAGAATCACCAACTAATTATCAGTTTTCTCTCTGTTATCAAAATATATAATAATAACCAACGTTATCATATATTTGACATTAAGATATCTCATAACTTAATTAATTATTTATTTCTCTTTTAGAAATGTTAGTATAAAATTTTGCACAACCTAACCTATCTCATAACTTGACATATTAATTCATAAAAATATCTAAATACGATAAAAGCACTGATATGTATATTAAAATCATAGACTAGAATTTACATATCAGTAAATAATATGCAATGTAAAAATGAGAGATGATTATCCATCTCTGACGATAATTCAAAGCGCAACTATACATTCGTGTAGTCCATGATTTTAATAACGACACGCCATCTAGAAATGTTTGTATGCACAGTAATTCTATCATTGCAAATGTTGGTTGAACGACAGTGGTGTTAAGTAATTGTAAATATGTCATTAACGGAGGTTATATGTCATACGTAGCCTCAGATAACACTACATAACTTTGAAACTGTTTTATCCTATTGTATAATTAAACAATGTCGATAGTCGTCTGTCGATTCTGATTATTTCCTTATACCATGATGGGAATATTGTATGAGAAAAGGCCACTAAAACGGCCTAAATTAGGGCCGCCTGACGTCTATCCTCAAGAACCTAAACAGAAAGAAGATGAACTTACGTCCACAAATGTCAAACTGGGCTTTGCCACAATGCCCCAGATGTCAGAGGAATTTGGGACAGCAAGACATTGTAATGTCACTGCTGCCAAAGTTGGAGCATATTTCAATGCAATTTTGGCTAAGAAAGAAGAGCTCTCTACGATGCCAGACACTGCAAGGAAACGACAACAAATCAATCCAAAAGATAATTTTTGGCCAGTAACTGCTAGAACAAAAAATGGCATTGAGGCCTGGTTCAAAGATTTGTCTGGGTGTAAACCACTGATAGCTCTTGCTAAGAAAGCTCCTAACTTCAATAAGAAAGAAGAAATATTCATGATGCTTTGTGAGTATCAAGTACCAATGCTTAGAGCAGCTTGGTTCATTAAACTTAGCTCTGCTTATACAGTAGCAGTTTCAGAAGCCAAAATAAAAAAGAGGCAGTTGCCTGACCCAACTACAGGTAAATAAAGACCTTCTTCAATATTAGTGAAATCAAAATATTTAATTAAAATATTTATCCTTTGTTTCTCCATTTAGAATGGACAGGAACACTTATTAAATTCTTGAAGGATCAGCTTTCAAAACTACAGGAATATTATTATATAAATAATAATACAACAAGTAGTACTAGTAGTAATGGTATTGCAAATAATTCTTGTAGTGGAAACAATACTGGAAATAACAATAATAATAACAACAATAACAATAATGTCAGTAATAATGTTAATAATAATAATAATGGAGTATCTAATAATCAGCCAGCTACACCAAATTCAAGTAACCAAGTAGCAACTGGAAATACTATGAACGAGGAACATAAATTAGCATTAAAACAATGGCATTATTGCATACAATTGGCAAAGTATATGTTTGAAGAAGGTTTATTAGATAGGCAAGAATTATTACAATGGATTTTAGAATTATTAGATAAAATTAAATCTTCCCCTTCAGAAAATGGTATTTTGAAACTTCTGTTGCCATTGGCATTGCAGTATTTAGAGGAATTCGTGCAATCTGAATTATTAGCCAGACGTCTGGCATATTTGTGTTGCCGCAAATTGGCACATATGTGTAGTAACGTAGAAACCAATGGCAATCCACAAAGTCCGTCCATAAATAAAAGTGATGTTAACAGTGGGAAAGACACTGCCATTGCTAATCAAGTTCAAAATCCATTAACTGCTGCCTTTAATGACTATTTGTCTTGTCCACATCACAGGGATGTGGTTTATAGTTTGTCAACAATAATACAGGTAAGATAGCATGTTATGTATTATTTAACATGTTCCATGGCCAATAGTGAACTAAAAAAAATAATATTATTCTAAATCGCTAATAGGATGTTGGTGTTTCTTACTTGAAGAATATAACAAAGAGTGGTTTTGTTCTATCAAATGTTCACCTAACATGGAACATGCTGATCTAAAAATAATTAAAAAATAATATAAAAAATATATTATAAATTTATATGATAAAATAATATAAAAGAATATAAACTTATTTTTCTATCAGGTTATAACACTAGAATGCCCTACTGCATTAGTGTGGAATAGCGTTGGCGAAGGAAAAGCTCCATCTGTATTAAATGGTTCTCCTTTAGATTATTTACCATGTCCCCCTACAGCTTTACCATGTCCACCTGTGAGTGCAACTAATCCTACAATAAAACAACTGAAAATTGCTCAAAAAAATATTCGAGCAAGATCTCAAGCTGCTGAAGGAAAATGGTCATGTGATAAGTGGCAGCAAAGCAGTGCTGGAATAACAACAACTAAAGTACTGGCAGCCTTAGATGCTTTAGATCGGCATAGTTTTGATAGAATGGATTCTACTAATTCGTTAGATACTTTGTATGCTAAAATATTTACATCACCTCCAAAAGATAATACCAATGAACGAGATACAAAAACGGAATATAATCCGCAACAAGATTCTGCTGTAGTTGAAATTCTATGCGAATGGGCAGTGAGCGCTGAAAGGTGGGGAGAGCATAGAGCAATGGCAGTTGCGAAGCTGCTGGAAAAACGGCAAAGTGAAGTTACTGGAGAAACGAACGATAACGATGATAAAGACAGTATTTGTAGTAATGGAAATCCACCCGTGCTCCCAATTTTTCAATCATTACTTATGAAATTCTTGGACATGGATGCCCCGGTACTAGATAATACAACAACTCAGTCAAAAGTTCAGTTCACGAATTTGGTTCACTTATTTTCAGAATTAATTAGACATGATGTATTTTCACACGACGCATACATGTGTACACTCATCTCAAGAGGAGATCTCATACAAGGTAGGATAAGCTTTTTACAAATTTTTCCATCATCTATTACCGTAGATACATATTTTACTATTTTATTTTATTTAGGCCCTGTGGCTAGCAAACCTGGAACTCCGAGTAATCGAGAACAAATAGACGAAGACAGCTTGTTTACTGGGATAGATTTAAAACCAACAAAATTAGAAGTACCAGATCACGGACGAACGATGGATTATGATGATAGTAAAATTGACGATGATTTAGATAAATTATTACAACACATCAAAGAGGATCAACAAAATAGCATGGATGCACCTGACAGTCCTAAAGAAGATGCATTAGCTGGGCATGGAACTCAAGAAGGATTAGATTCAAAAATACCATCGAGTCACAGTAGACATTTATTATATACAACGCATTTCCCTTTACCACAAGTAAATTAATATTTGACTGAAACAATTTTATACAAAATTTAACATGTACTCTGTCATCTTTAAAGTGCTGTTGACATTAATTTTATAATAATATGTTTGTAGGATGAGACATGCAGTCAACATGACTGTAATCAACGACATGTATTACTGTATGGAGTAGGTCGCGTTAGAGACGACGCTAGACATATTGTTAAAAAAATGACGAAAGAAGTATGTAAATTATTCGGAAAAAAATTTAGCATTGACGTTGCAGAAGGTGGTAAAGTAAAGAAACATTCCCGAAGTGAATTCAACTTTGAAGCGATTACGCTAAAGTTTCAGAATCTCAGCTATTTCGATCAACACGTAGTGACGTGGCAATGCGCGACACAAGTTATAGAAATGTTGAATACATTTGCATTGGCTGGTTCATCTTATTTGCCAGTCCAAGAACATGTAGCATTTCTATTTGATTTAATGGAATTAGCGTTAAATATATATGGCCTGATAGATGTTTGCATTCAAATACTAAAGGAATTACCAGAAGTTGAAACACAATTGGGAATTAGAAACAGTCAGCTTGTTAGAAGCTATACTACAAGTTTAAGTTTATATGTTGTAGGAGTATTAAGAAGATATCATTGTTGTTTGTTATGTAAGTATTATTCATAACAAAATTCATTATTTTATAAAGTACTCAAATAATAGGAATGATAATTATATCTATCTTGGTTATTTTAGTATCTCCGGAACAAACAACAGCGGTATTCGATTTACTTTGTAAAGTTGTAAAGCATGTATCCAATCCTAGTGACTGTAGTTCTGCTGAACGATGTGTATTAGCGCATCTTTACGATTTATACTCATCTTGTTCGTTGCTGAAAACGAAACCACATGGAGTTGAAGCATTTAGCAATGCTTATCCTAAAATCCGAACGGCTCTTTACAGCACGTTACAACCAACAACATCGAGTCATGTGTATAATTCACAATTTATGGTAGACGTTTTTACCAGTCCAAGACGCGGTGGAAAAATCGAACCACAATGGGCTAGACAGTTGAACGAGACACCGGCTAATCGTTACAGTTTTGTTTGTAACGCAATAGTTGCAGTTTGCAGTGAAACGGATAATGATAAATTAAATGACATTGCGATAACATGCGCGGAATTAACAGCTTGTTGCAATGCACTTAACGCCGAATGGCTCGGAGTCCTTATGGCACTTTGTTGTTCTTCAAATAGCTCCGCTTTTTATATTGACGTGTTAAATCAGGTTGATGTACAAGACCTAAGTATACATAACTCTCTGGCTGTATTCACGTCAATTTTAATTGGTAAATTTTTTAAATGATTTTAATGCATTATGTTATTTTAAAAAGTTGGTAGAGTACTAAAATAATATTTTCTATTTATAGCAAGACACTGCTTCTCATTGGAGGATTTTGTCGTGCATATAGCATTGCCATCCTTAGTTAAAGCTTGTAATGAAGGTCGCGGAGACGCAGATATGGAAGCTGAAGCTGGAGCACGTTTAACCTGCCATTTGCTTCTACGGCTTTTCAAGACTGTCGAATGTCCCCAACCAGCGCTTTATTCCGTAAGCACAAGTCCTCACCCTCTACCGAATGGAAATTCCAGGGGTTACAGTATAAAATTAAGTTGTGATAGACACTTGCTGGCAGCTGCTCACAATAACATCAGGGTCGGTCCGGTTTTAGCTGTACTGAAAGCTATCTTAGTTGTCGCCGATGCAACTGCTGGTAAACAACCTCCAAAGAAACCAGATGTGCCGATAAATCATTCAAATAAAGCAGGAGGACCAGCTAGTGTTGGTGTTGGTGTTGGTGTTGGGGTAACTACAGGTGGACCAAGTGAATTGTCTATCAGTCATATCCTAGGTACCAGTGATATTCTAGGAGGTGGCGATGACTTGGGACTTGATCTAGCAATATCTTCATCTAGCAGCAGCGCTGGAATGACTACGGAAAATGTGAAAGGATTGTCAGACTTTGCACAACATGTCCTCAGACAAATCTGCAGCCAAGAGTGGGTTTTAGAAAGATGTTTACAAAACCCAGAAGAACTTTGTCATCCGGATATGTTACTCGATAATATGCTGACACCGCGTCAAGCTCAACGGTTACTTCATATGATTTGCTATCCGGAGACTTCTACAGACGCATTTATCGACCAGAAGACTCACATAACAAACATTTTGGAAAATCTGGAGCAATGGAGTTTAAGAATGTCGTGGCTTGATCTGCAACTCATGTACAAACAATTTCCTCCAGGATCGAGCGATCTTTCACAGTGGTTGGACACCGTTGCCAAAGCTGCAATCGATGTATTTCAATTGAATACTATGTCAAGTAAGCCAGACAAACGGTCTGGTTCGATATGGTTAGTTGCACCGCTTGTTTCAAAATTACCAAGCGCAGTGCAAGGTCGAGTCTTAAAAGTAGCGGGCCAGGTATTAGAATCCGGTAATTGGTCAAAAACAGCGACAGGTCGTGAGAGAAGTAGATCAAAATCGCCATCTTTGTTTAATCATCAACCGTTTCTCTCGTTAGTACTCACTTGCCTCAAAGGTCAGGACGATCAAAGAGAGGGCCTTCTAATGTCTCTGCATTCGCAGTTATCGCAGTTCTTAAACATTAGCAAAGAGGAGAAAAATTTTGTTACCGAAGATCCTAAGACGAGAGAGGTGTTACAAGATGCATTGCAATTGAGATTTAGTCTCGTCGGTGGAGTCTTTGATACCATACAAAGAAATACGACTGCTACCACAGACTGGGCTATCTTATTGGTTCAGCTGGTTAGCTATGGTGTTATAGATTTAAATAATAATTCTGGATTGTTTACTACTGTCATAGATATGTTAGCAACCCTAATACATTCTACTCTAGTTTCCGATTCGCAGTCCGAGAAGGATGAAAATAAAAAACATTATCAAAACTTAATGAAAAAGTTGAAAAAGGAACTCGGCGATAGAAATTCTCCCAGTATTCGATATGTCAGACAATTGTTACCACTGCCAAAAGTAACGATGGAAGTAATTACGTGTGAGCCAGTTGGATGTTTGACAGACACAAAAGGAAATAAAATAGCTGGTTTTGATAGTATTGATAAAAAACAAGTAAGTTGAAGTACTTTATATTTGTACTATATAATACTACACTCTAATAACAAGCAAAAGAAAATGATATAAAAATATATGCATATTAAATTAGGGTTTACAAGTATGTGATTCCCAAAGGGTATCTGCATGGGAAGTATTAGAAGGTCATAAAAATCCAGCACCAATTTCTTGGGCCTGGTTTAGAGCAGTTCGATTGGAACGTAAGCCTCTTACGTACCAAAATGCTCATAAGCTTTTACGATATCATACACATAGTCAAATTAGACCTCCTAGCCATTACTTGGAGCCACCACCATTACCTCCGGAAGATTTAGAACCAGATAAAAAGGAATCAGAACCTGGCAAAGCTGATACACCAATGAGTATCGATTCTCCTGGAAGAGTAACAGGTAGTGTTGGCAGTAGTGGAGTTGGTAATGCTATTACCAATGGCAAAGGGAAAGCTATGAAGACACGAAAGCATAGAAAGAATAGAGGAGCTGCTACACCTACTACACCTGTTTCACAACAAATCCAGGTTCTTTTTTTTCCATTTGATTTTTTAAAATATTTGCTTCTCAATTTTTGATATATTTTATGTGTTAAATAGCAACCACCAAATCAACTACAACAAATGTCATTTGGAAATCAGCAAGTACCCGTTAGTCAACAACCTGGAATGTTTACTGGTCAACCGCCGCAACATCAACAACCTTGGTACACCAATCAGCAAACTCACGCACCAGCTCAGCCATATGGATATGGACAACAATTACCACCAACTCCAGTTGGACCAAGATATGACAGACCAGGCATGAACAATCAATCAAAACAGGCGCTTTCTCACATGTTACGTTTACGGTTACCATCCAATCAATTAATAAGCTCTCAGCAACAAGCAAATGCCGCACCTGTCGCTGGGCCAGGAGCGTTCCAAGGAATGCAGAGACAACAATTCATCAGACAACAATTGAGAGCTCAACATGGAGCTCCAAATATCAATCCACAACAAGGAATGTTTGCTTCGCAACAGCAGCAACAACAACCGCAACAACAAGGAATTTACACTGGAATGCAACAGGGTAATTATATATTACAATTTATTATTTTATGTATAACAATTACTTTGGTAGTATAATATATAAAGATATTATAATTATATTTTTTAACAGGAATGAATCAAAATTATGCAGGATATGGGGGTCAACAAATGATGCCACAACAACAACAACAGCAGCAGCAACAACAGCAAGCGCCTCAACAAGCGCAGCAACAACAACAGTTGTTACAGCAGCAGCAGCAGCAACAAGGTTTAATGAATCAACAACAGAACATGATGTTTTCTAATCAACAGCAAATGATGGGACCTCAAAGGGCGCAAGAGTATATACCACAACAACGTATGCAACCTGGAGCTACGAGGCCACCGTACCTTCAGGTACCATTTAAAAGAAAAGTAGATAAAATGAATCTAATAAAAAAAGTATTTACTATAAAGAATCGAAAATTATTGTTGATATTCTTCAGGCTCCAAATGTTACAATGAATACAATGGGTCCAATGGGAGGTGGAGTTCAAAGTCAACCAGCACCACCATATCGGCAAACCAGTGGAAAACCTGGTACGGTTGGTGTAACAGGAGTAGGCACTACTAACGTCGGCTTACAACAAAATCAACAATTCCAACAGGTAAGGTTTACTATGCTGTAAAAAGTTGTCCATATATCTGTATGTATAATCGTTTACATTATTAGCAACAGGCGATAAACCAACAACGTATGAGACAACAAATGCTTGCAATGCAGCAACAACAACAACAGGCACAGCAGCAACAGCAAGCACAGCAGCAACAACAACAACAAGGTAATGCCGGTGGACAGCAGCCAACTCCACAATTAGTAACGCATTTACAACGGCACTTGAGTCAACCACCGCAACACTATCAGCATCAACCGCCGCCTTATTAGTAATTTAATCTGTATATAATTAATGAATATGTTGTATAATTAACATAAACTGTGTAGACTGGCTCAGAAGAATTACATAACTTAATTTGCAGTGTGAATGTATAAAGCGTGCCATTGCAGAGGCAATAAACAGAAAGAATTTTACAAAAATCTTAAAAGCTATTTCTTTCGTTTTTACTTCTTTTTAACGTTAATATTGTGTATAATGTATGAAAAATAAGCAATTATAATTGTTTAAAAATGTTGTGTAATTCCTGTACTCTTAAGCCAAATAAATTAAAATATAAATTTTCTTTTTGTAAGGCTAATAATAAATTAGATATAAATTATGTAAAACTAATGGTAATCTTAGCTACACGAAATACATATATATATATTTAAGGGATACATAATTTATGTATAGATAACAGACAAACAATAGACAGCAAATAAACAATAGATCGAATAAAATTTAAATACTCGCTGATAATATTAAAAAATTATTATATCAAATATAATATCGTAAATATAAAAAAGGAAAACAATTTCTAAAAAAAAGAAACCTTTCATAATAAAAAATTTACCTTATGATTGAGTTACTATAAATCAAATAAAAATTATACACATACACATATGAATTTTCTTATCATATTTGTTACGAAATAAAAATTCTAAAATATAAAAGTTGTTCATTTTATAACAATATTGTAAACGTATATTTTTATATGTATTTTGAAATTACAAATATGTACGAAAATACAACTAATCTTATTTGTCATTTACCAAAATTGGTTAGGTCACCGTCATATAAAGTACGTTAAATCGTTTACATGACCGTGGGTTACGTATTGAATGTAATAAGTGTTTTAGTGTGATTTTATTTATAATTTTATATTTGCCTTAGTAACTAGTTATCTAATCTCGAAGGGAAAGAAATTACATCAAAAATCAAAATAGATATATAACAAAATATAATTTATACATATGACAAGAATAGAAAAGAAATGTATAACAATGAGTAATACAGAAGAACTTATGACTGATATTTATAACACTTTAGTACAAATAAGATATCCAAAAATTACAACAGCTTTAGCAAACAATATAGAAGTAACAATTCTTAATGGAGAGAATCGACTTTCATTATTATCTTGGCTTTTGGCTGAAAAGTTTCCCTTGATAGCTTCCAAATTACAAAAGTTAAAAGGCGCTGCTTTAGAAGGTTTTATAACTAAATAACATTAGAAGTTTGTAATTAAATAATATTTAATATATTCAATATAAAGGCATTATCTTTTTTTTGCAGAAGAGTTACTAAGATCTTATTCCGAAATTGGAATTTGTACTGACAAAAAATTATTTCTGGTTCGTGTCTTACATAATTTCTTTTTGTACTATTGGCAACAGAAAAATTTACATTATTTTTTTGCAGGGAAATTGCCTGTTAAAAGAACAACTTCCAACTTTAAGATTATTATTGGACTTTATGAAATGTTTATTCCTTAAGTCTTTTGATACTGAATATGATGAAAAAGAACCCACTGATGATATATTAAACGTATGTAAATAAATACATCCAAAACATGTATGCATATAATTTGTATATTTACAGATGTATTTTATATTAGGTCTATATCAATGAAGATTCAAATACGTTTACATGTAATGTTGAACCAAAGCTAAATTATTCTGAATCTATGCAGTATTTTGAAAATTTGCAAAAGTATCTAAATGAACATCAAGAATTATCATCAACTTTTGAATTTAAAAAAGAAGAACATGTAGTGGAACAGGTTTCAAAAGTAATTTCATTAAAAAATTTATATAAAGTGATCTGTAACTATTGCTACAACTGCAAAAAGAATGATTCCTCATCAAAAAGTATCATTTTGAATGTGAGCTAGACATGAAAAAACTGTCTTAATTTTTCAGTTCATTTGTCATATAGAATCATTCCTTTGTTGGTGTAGTAGATGTTTTATAATACTCTATGTATTTTGTCTTGAAATAATATATAAAATTATATGAAATACAGGATGAGAAAAAGAAAACTAATGAAAATGATCGAGATTCGTTATTTAATGAGGAAAAAAAGAATTTTATAGAAGCATATTCATCCATTGATTCATGGTCACCATTTAACGCAAAAAGTATGAAGAATAAATCATACTCCATGGACGCTGATATTAATGACATATATTCAAAATTTTCTTCTTTAACACAGGTTTTGTACTTTTATAGACCTTCTTATATTTAATACAATTAATATCAATTTATACAAATGCTATTTAATATTTAGTTTCTACAAGCAAAGGAAGAAATATTGAATGCTAATATACCAAAAGAAATAAGGAAATTAAATACTCCATTGAATGAAACTGTTGAAAATATTGTTATACATACTGAAGAAGCTAAGAATGGATATGTGGATACTTATTGATTTGTAATATTAATTTTCTTTTAAGTGGTTTTTAAAATATCAATCTTTAAATTTATATTTTTGTACTCTTATAAAAATAAAAGCACTTATGGGTATTAAAAAGATACTAATTTAATTAAAAATGTTTTATAGGTTTATTAGAAATACATGATAGTGACTTTACGATCGAGGTCGTTCTTTCTTTTCTTTGTAGAGTGCAAGTAGCGAAACATTGGCAACTTTCACTACTTTAAATCGAACTCCTGGAATGTCACCTACGGCATGACCTTTACGACCAAATCCTGCGACCAAAACTTCGTCGTTTTCCTCGATATTGTTCAAACAACCATCCCTAGGTACAAAAGCAGTAATTTTCTTGCCGTTTTTGATAAGTTGTACTCTCACACATTTACGAATAGCAGAGTTTGGCTGTTTGGCTTCTACACCACTAAAAACATACAAACACTTAATTAAAATTTGATGCAGAAATTCATTTCAATTCAAAGAGATTACTATAAATATGATATAGTAAGAGATTTAATAATGTAAATATACATACACTTTTTCTAAAACAATACCCTTAGCATGAGAAGCACCACCGAATGGATTGGCCTTCCATCTCGTTCCCAAGTGAGCTTTCTTGTAGTCTTTATCATTCCATCGTTGATCCCGTCTGTGGTTTACATGCTTACGTGCGGTACGAAGACCACGAGGTTTACCTGTATCAAAACGTTAGATCATTAATACATTTCATTTTCATTTTGTTATTTCAGAATTTTCTATTAAATATTTAACGAAATTATAATCGAAAAAAATTGAACAATCGATGAGAACAACACATATTTAATAATATAAGCTTTACATTTTTAAAAACGATATAATTTTAACATCGATTGCTTACCCATCTTGCTCGTTGCTCTATACAACCGGAAGAGCTCTATCTTCCATTAACGGAAATGCATATGAACTTTAATTTTATCGTCACATTTAAATCAAAAATACGTTTGTTGCAATAAATGTAGCAATAGATCAATAAATATAAATGTTAAAAAATAAGACTATTTTTTAGTATTCTATAAAAATCTTATAAGTATGTTAGGAACGAGCGGACTTATCTAAATATTTCTTTTAATTATTATAATACGAAAAATACATTTTACACGTAATCTGAAAAAAATATACGATAAATATATATGCCTGAAGTACTTTTTTAATTTTTAAAGTTAATAATGTATATTTTCTCTCTTATATATATGTACATTGCAGTTGTCACATGAAATTATGAAATTTAATAAAATGCATATAAAAATTATAAGTATGAGCACTTCTAATTGCATCATAATAGGGTTTGTCATTTTTGGAGGATTTGTGAACATACATACAAAATAAGATTGGGAAAAATGCATAAGACATTATATTTTATTATAAAATCAAGTAAAAGATTTTATTATTTTAATATCTAATAAGCATATTTGCAGCTAAATTTATTTACATTATATATTTACAATTATGTGACAAAATAAGATTTGTGCACTTAATTAAATAAGATAATATAATATAATTGAATATTAGAACATAAGGTATTTTATTCAGTTAAGGTAACATATTGAACTAAGCAATCAATAAAAAAAGTAATAAATAAATAAGAAAATAAATAAAACTCGAGTGTCAGAATATAAAATCCAGTTGCCTCTTTGTAAAATGTTCTTAATATGAAACATGTCGTACACACAAATTGCACTTCCAGAAAATTGAGCTTTGCATTATTGATGATGGTGATATTCATTCCACTAGTCTGTTTGAAAAAAAGAAGAGATTTAATAATATATAATCGTATGGATGAAATTACAAAAATATAATTTATATATACCTTGGTTTCTTTAGAAATTCATCGTCCTCTGCTTTTTCATCTTCTTTTGACTGATCCATAAATAATGTACGATTCAACTAAAGATAATAATGATAGATTTATGAAATAATTTTAAATGATTATTATTATTAGAAAGAATAACAAGCTTACATTTTTTTTATCTCTATTTTGACATTGGTCTTCCACACATTTACAATTACTGCCACATATAGTTTTGTTTTTACGACAACGACAAATTCGTGTAGCACAACTCGTTTTACAATTACATTTTGCATCGCCGTCTGATGTCCGTTTCAATGAATTACGGTCAAGTGATGAAGATTTTGTTGTATCCTGAAAATAAAAATTATATTATTTAGAATTAATAATATAAAGAATATTGTTTTAAATATCAAAGGTAATAAATTCTTAATTTCAATGAATTACCAAAAGACTCCGTATACGATTATAAAGTGGTGTTCGTGTCCAATCTGGATCTTTTTCAACATCATCTTCAATGGTACTATCATCTGTTTCAGAATGAATATCTTCAACCTGTACGTCTTTAATAGCTTTGGGTTTCACATTTTCCTTGTTCTGAATTTTACGTGGGAGCTGAAAAATTTACAAAACAATTTATAATATTTTAGTGGAGAATTAATTTTATCAATAATAAAATTAAGAGCGTATATTAACTGTGTGTTCTAGTTCTTCGCATTTTTGTTTGTAAAATTCCAATTTTTCTTTTAGTTTACTGTTATCCTCACTTTCGTATTCTTTAATATTATGTGTATCATTTAATGCAAGTTGTTTTGACATACGCCTTTCTTTCTCTTTGACCCGGTATTCATTCAATCGTGCTTGCAACAGTTCATACTTTCCCTAAAATTACGTTTATTATTAGAAACATAATAATTTTAAATTAGATTGTTGATATAGAACTTAAAAGAGTCTTGTTTAATTTATGTAAACTTTTAAATAGTCTATAATTTTCAAATATACAAACCTGAAGCTCATTGTATTCGTATTCCTTTACACATTGCTTTCTTCTACTCTCTGTAACATGTTTAAATAATAGTTCAAGAGCAATTTTTGCTCCTTCCATTGTATGTACTTTTTGCCATCTTGTATGTGCTCTACTTTCTAAATAAATACACATGTATACAATTAATAGTTGAACAAGGGAACTTACTACATTAACACGTATATTGTACATTTAGCGAATGGAACATTTACCTTGATCAGATTCAATTATTTTTTGCTGGAGATCAGTAATTTGCGTATTACGTAAATCTAGAAATTCAGTAAGTTCAGCAATTTTGGTCCCATTTTCATCATCATCGTTTTGAAATTTTTCTAACATGCATGCCAATGATGCTCTATCTTGCATTAATTTTTCGAGAGAATATTCTGCATCAATGGTGCTCACCGATATTTCTATTTCCTGAGTTAACCAATTTTGAATTTTATCAGTATTAGTATTCATCTTTTCTTTTCTCACTCTTTTTTGCAAATCTAAAGCTTCCTAAAAATAAAGTAAAAGACAAAATTATTGTTCAATTAAAGCATTACAAATAAAAATCTTAATTCATTACCTTCAGTCTTTTATTAACAGCAAAAGCTTCTTCCATCTTTCTTTTGAAAACAGTTTCTTGTTTACTATGCCACAATTTTAAACGTGTCACTTCGTTCATTTGCTTTCTATTTTGATTTTTTAAACGGTTCAGTTCTTTTTCCTTTGATTCCTTCCATTTTGTAAATCTATCAGATTCATTGCGCATTTGTCTAATTAATTTTATTCTTGTTTGCTTTAACACGTGCATTTCGTTTGATAAATTTCTTATTTGTTGATCTTGCTTTTCTTTCGTTTTAACTATCCTATCTTGCTCTGATATCTTTCGCCTTAATTCTGTTATTTTTTTCTCTAATTCCTGTACCTTTTTACGTCTATTTTCTGCCAATCTGCAAAACAAACAAAATAAGTTAAAAAATTTGAAGAAATAACACTAAGTTAATGATTGCTGTAAATGAAGAAAATTAAAAAAATAATAATTTTTGTATTTAATTAAACTTCTTACTTTGACTTAGCATTATTTGCTTGTACGTTCTGTAGAGCTTGTAGAAGTTCTTCCTTTTCTATCTGAAGTGTTTTTATCTCTTGCTCCATTTCCTGTATTTCTTTGGAATAATCAATTGTTAGAGATGAGCTTTTTAAAAGCTGATGTATAAGACTCTCCTTAATAGCAAGTTCTTTGTTGATATTTTGAACTTCGTCATTCCTTTTAGCTTGGAGTAAAGTATGTTCTTCCTGTTTTTCATGAAAATCATCTAAACTATCTGGGGAACATACTTCATCCATACACATCTGTTCTGGGTCGTCTTCAGAGTTTATTGTAAATGTGTTTGCATTATCAGAGGATATTTTTATGAGTTCTTCGGATGTTTTCTTCTGATCGTTTTGAATATCTATTTATCATAAATAAGGAAATATTTTCAGAAACTGTATATCAATAACTTTTCCTTACGTTACTTACCAAGAATTTTTAAATACAAAGCTTCCAGTCTTGAACGATGTTCATTATGTTTATTAGGATCTTTATCAAAATCATCTAAAAGTTTTTTAGATTCTTCTAATATCTTTATCATGTCAGTCTGAATTTTTTCTCTAGCTTGCTCAGCTAGTTCTGCCCTTTCATACATAACTACAGCCTCAACTAAATTACTATTTAACTTTTCCGTTAAATCCCTTATTTTTTTTTGTAAACATTGGTTTTTTGTGTGGAGTTCCTGATGTTCCAATGGACATGAGACCTTAATTTCATTGTCTACCAAAGCAAGTTTTAATTCTTGTACTAGTTTATTTAGACGATTTATTTCTGCAATTTGTGGATCTTGATTAACTACAGGTTTATTTTTTATTTTACATGCTCTGTCTGCATATCTTAATGTGCTTAGAGTTTCATCCAAGTTATAATCTGAAAGTATTTTATATAAAAGATAAGTTATTTTGAACATTAGTATTAAATACAAATATCTTAAATTTTATGACAATAATAACCTGCAGGACTAACGCATGCTATCATTAATGTTATGGAATTTCCACCAAGAGAATCTTGCAATAATCTTGTGAGTTTACTGTCTCTATAACCAACATATGCTGCAGGGCCACCCTCTCCTAATTGAGATATAACATTACCCAATGCCAACAAACCTCTATTTATATTAACTCCTTCTTTAAATCTTTCACCAGTTGCTTGTGTCTTTTTACTACGTTCAGATCCAGCTAAATCTACCAAATGAAACTTTGCAGTTGTTGCTGTATTGCTAGATTATATTAAAGTAGAAAAGAACAAAATATTTAAATATATTATAAATAAATCTTATTTTGTAATTTCTAGATATATTGCTTACAGGTCATTTTTTTTATGTTGATATACACATAAAGTGTATATTGCATGGCTTCTGCTACTTTGTGCGTTCATTGCAGTAGCACCTGTAGCACGTCCTAAAGATCCTTGTGTCAAGCAGTTTAATGCTTCTGTTGCAGTTTTAACTTCTTTTGCTACAAGTCCAGCAATCTTTATATTTTTACCATCATCTCTGATTTCAACAATAGACTGATTTCTTTGTTTATCAGTTAATAAATCATATAACTGTTCTTGATAAAGTTCCATAAACGAAACTGTAACTTTAAAACTCCAATCTTCCTTTGATGAAATTATATCAAATATATCATTCACCGATCTGGGTATAATGCCCATGTCTTCTTCTTCAATGTAATTTGTACCCATTGAATGAGTTTTACCACTTCCCGTTTGACCATAAGCCAATATAGTGACATTATAGCCTGCAAAGAAGGTATATAAATATACTACTACATTAATTGCAAAAATAAAATACAACTACAATATTTTGCAGAATTATGTTTTAATATAATTTTACCTTGAAAAATATTTTCTACCATATTTTTAACAGCTGTATTATAGAATTCCTCTTGAGTAACATTAGGAGAAAATACGTAATTAAATGTAAAAGCTTTGGCTGTATTACATACAACAATCTGAGGTTCACCAGGAACAACATCTAAGCATGTTTGACATCCTCTTTCATTTTCACTCTTTATTAATGGACGAATGCGAACAGCAACTTTAACTGCATCTTCAGTCATCTGCAATAAAATGTTTATCTTTTAATATATACGTTTGTTTTAGAAAATTTATTAACTTTGGTCATTCTATTGATGCATGATGTCCTCATGAATTTTGAGAAGACCTTTTTTAATTATTTTATTGTAATGTGTATGTATTATATGTGTTTTAGATGCATATATTTATTTATTATTTTTGTTATTAGTTTTGTAAGTATAGGAAGTAGGAAAGACATATATGCAGTTCAACCAATACTACACGATAATGCTCATAGTATAGTGTAAACAAAGTTACATTTGTCTGAGATTGATCTAAAAGTTATTGAAGAATCCTTTTCTCTAGATCTAACGTTAAACATTAAAGCATATTTACGCCAGTATAAATAAATAAGATTAACTCATAAATAAATTAACTCATAAATAAATAAGTATAACTAAATAAGATAACTAATTATACTAATTGTATAATACTATATATACTAATTGCATTGATAAGAAATAAATTTCACTGTTCGGAATATTTTAACTCTGGAAAATGCGTAATCCTGTTGAGACCTATGTTTCATAATTTTTGGAAGTCCACAATCCTATTAAAACCCACGTTTTGTAACTATTATTCTTTACTACCATATAAGCTTTACCAAAATATTCTAACAAATACTTATATCATTTCACTTAGAACATATTCATTTGTAACGAGTAACTGATTTACCCCATAAATTTTAAACAGACTTTGTTAAAGATAATCATAATCAATTACCTTTGAATCGTTCACCGTAAAGCAGTGATGTCTTTATATAAATTATACCTTATTATACAGTAGCAATAATAACAGAAAGTATTTTTTAATCACGGTGGATCGGTGATAAATATGCTGAATCAGTTAATTTTAAACTTGAACACAGACTGCTTGAAATCGAATCAACCGTTGACCGTTACCGATGAATTTGAAATTATGCGGTTTCGAATAAAGTATCCGATTCGCATGTAAGTTTCTTCGATTATAGTTTAATACTTCTAATTGGTCGACGAAATTTAGAAACCCTGTTAAAATTAAGTATGGATAGATTTTTATTAATATGATGAAAGTTAAATGAATGTGTGTCAAAAGCATAAATTAAGAACACAAAAATAATTTCTTTTTTCGTTAAAACGTATTTTCTTATCCTTAGCATACCTAATTCTCATGCATGGAAATGCATACTTGTGATACTGGCATTAAAGTTTTCAGTGTAAAATTTTCACGTATGTATTTAATAACATAATCATTACATGTTAAGCAATAAATAAAACGATTGCAGTTACCTGTAAGTATACTTTTATGCCGTTCTATAATTATGACATATATATACAATAGATATATTACAATATATATATACCTGATATATAATTAACATATGTGTCTACTTGACAAAATTACGGCAGATTACAAACTCATACGTCAACTACTATAATATTTGATTTGTGATAAACTCTCGTACAAATTAATATAATTTATAGCTATATATTTACAGTAAAAAGGGGGGCGCGACCTTAATTATACAATTGGAAAACGACTACATTCAAAAATTGCTGATTGTTTATTTTTAAACCTATGAGAAAACTTGACATAAGTGATTTTTATAAAAAGTGAATAAAAGTGTGAATTATTATAAGAATTAATGATAGGAGTGAATAATATCTGACTATAATATTATGTGACAAATTTTTTTTATAAAATCAATGTAGGGTTGACGATATTTTTCTACTGTTTTTGGATGGCCTACAATATGGCTCTTAGGTCATTTTTACATATAGGTAATAGTACATATAAATGGTAAGATAGTTTTTTATATCTCAAATTTTTATATTCATCAATAATTTCATATCACTTACTTATAGTTATATATTCTTTTTTCAGTGTTTTTACTACAATAAAGTTTAAACCTAAATTATATGTAGTTGAAGGATATAAACAAATTAGAAATTTTCATAAGTTTAGAGGTAAAACAAAACTATCACAATCATCAAATTCACTAACAGAAGAGTTCCTTAAAAAGCAATCAGGATATTTTCCCAATTTATGGAAACCATTTACCTTTACTATCATTGTAAGCGATTGTTAAGATATTAAATTTTATTTCAATTTATACTAAGTTAATTTAAACATAATCCATTGTTTTAGTATTATAAGTTTTCTTGTGTTTAATTCAGTTTAGTGCAACAACATTTATTGCCGCTGCCATTTGGGAATATGAATGTGTCAGAAATAAAACCTATAGTATAATCAGAAGTTACAAACAATGGGGAATACATGTTTGTATATTGAGATTCATATATAGATTTATTAAAATATTTTATTGCTACATATTACTTTATTTAGCGAACAGGATGGAGAAATACGATGGAGAATTGGTGGAAAAACTTATCAGAAGGAGAAAGAATATTTATTCCTATATGTTTCTTAAATGTATTGGTATTTTTGTCATGGCATATACCAGCATTTCGATTGACAATGTATCGATATTTTTCATGCACTCCTACCACTAGTGAGTAATACATATCTTTAAAAATATTTATTATAATATGGGTATATATAAGAGTATTAAATTCTATACTATTAATCAAGATAGATGTTGGCCAATGTTGTTTGTAACATTTTCGCATTGTTCCCTTCTTCATTTAATTGTCAACATGTATGTATTATATGGTTTCTCTAAAATTGCTGTGGCTCAACTGGGTAGAGAACAATTTTTGGCACTTTATTTAATTAGTGGAGTAGTATCTAGTTTTTCAAGTTATTTATATAAAGCTGTCGTTGGAATAAGAGATCCTTCCTTGGGAGCTGTGAGTATTGATTAAAATTTAATATAAATATGATTTTAAATGTAACAATATTCATACTAATAATTGCAACATAGTCAGGAGCAATAATGGGTGTCTTTGGATTTGTATGTACTCAGTTTCCAAATGCATACCTATCTATTATTTTTCTTCCAATGTTCACATTTACAGCGAGTATGGTATGTATAATTTCATTTTAACTGCATAAAGTTTGAGTTTTATATGTGAATTAGTTTATATATCTTTTACTAAAAATATCTATGTGATCAGGCCATGAAAGCTATAATGGGTTTGGATACTTTGGGATGCCTTATGCGTTGGCAACGTTTTGATCATGCAGCACATTTGGGTGGAGCATTATTTGGAATGTAAGCCCTTGTACAAAATTTATAAAAATTTATATATTTTCTTATATTCTTATATATTTTTTATTATAGATTTTGGCAAATGTGGGGTAGTGCCAATATATGGCAAAAACGTGAACCAGTATTAGTATTTTGGCATCAAGTCCGTGAACCACCTAGATCTAATTAATACCTCCTTGTTATAAAATTGATACTAATACATATTATATATTTGTAATATTATGAAAAATTTTGAAAGTTATAAGAAGTGGAATTATATAAGAAAGAAAATGTATTTATTTTGTTCTTTATAATTTATGATAAAATTATTAAAAATTTTATAGTAAGGAAGAAGATACACAATTTGGGGTACACGGGCTTGGAATGGTCTGGCAAAATTCAGGTGGAGCAGGTGAGATCTCGATACGTGTATTACTCAAGATTCCGAGAGTCATTTCGAATCGATTCGGTAATAATTAATCAGGAACGATACTATCCTTTCCTAATAAGTAAATCTTGGTTTCTTGAACAGATTGCATCTGAGTTCATGCTTACATACAGGGTGTTCCGTTTAAGTGAGAACAGTGGGATACCTCATAAGGGATTGAAGTTATTAAAAAAATGTTTTAACAAAAGTTTGTTTGGTTCGAAAGGGGACGTCATATGGTACAAATTATTTTTTTACGGGTCGAGTAGTGAGAAGATTTTAAGATCATCATTTTTCTAAATAGGGTCATATATTTTTTAATAGGGAATCACCCGATCTCACCTGAATTTTTTTGATTCGTACCAAAGCTTGGGTTCCCAAGTCTCGGAACGATTCCGCATACTACATACACAGAACAAAAATAAGTAATTGTTATATTTTGCATATGCATAATTTATATAATTAAATATTATATCTCTTTTGAGCTATTATTATTATTATTATTATTATTATTATTATTATTATTATTATTGTAACGTTTATTTTTATTTAAGAGTTATTTCTCAATGACAAAAATATAAAAAAAAATAAGTACATATATTAAATTAAGATTTAAGATATTTTACATGATGTTTAATATGATCTTCTATGAATGTAGATATAAAAAAGTAACTATGATCATAGCTTTCTTGAAATCTAAGAACTAAAGATAATCCAGCATCTTTTGCAGCTGATAGTAAATTTTCTGGTAGCAATTGTCCATTTTTCAAGAACTTATCTTCTTTTCCCTAAAATTATACACTCATTTATTAAAAAACTTTATTTTATAATATAATATCATAGTATAATACCTGGTCAACCAAAATATCCAAAGGTGGTCCATTGTACTTTTTAGCTAGTTCTGTAGCATCCCATTCTCTCCATGCAGCGTTAGTTTCTGTCCCACCCAAATAACCGGAGAAAGCCTTTTTCCCCCATGGACATGAAATTGGATTACTTATAGGTGCAAAAGCAGATACTGTTTTGTATAAACCAGGATTTTTTAAAGCACATATTAAAGCTCCATGTCCACCCATACTATAGAATTTATAACAAAATTATATGCAGATTCTTATTATTAAAAACTAATGAATAAATCAACTTAGAAACTAAGTAACCCAATTATTAAATAATCAATGGTTGTCCCACTCTTTACCTATGACCCATTATGGATTGTTTGTCCGGTAAAACAGGAAATTTTTCATTAATCAAAGCTGGTAGTTCCTTAGTAACATAGCTATACATTCTATAATGTTTTTTCCAAGGCTCCTTTAGTGCATCAACATAAAAACCAGCACCAGTTCCAAAATCCCAATCATCATCTTCTCCAGGTATATTAAGATTGCGAGGGCTAGTATCAGGTGCAACTAAGATTACTCCTTGTTCAGAAGCATATTTTTGTGCACCTGCTTTCTGAACAAAATTAGCTTCTGTACATGTCAAGCCAGATAACCAATAAATGACGGGTACAGGTCCTTCTTCCACTTGCGGTGGTAGGAAGATTCCAAAATTCATTTTACATCCTAATTCATAGCTGTGTTATAAAAAAATTGGTTAAACTCTACTCCAGGAGATCAAAAATTATTGATTTTTTTCCTGCAATTTTGTAGTTTTCGATGTATAGAATAAGAAAACACAAGTTTTAAGGCGAGGAATCCACTATTTCGAAAGTTATGACTATGTGAAATTGAGCATTTTTAGAATATTTTACACGTTAAATAATCTTGCGTTTCAATAATTTCGATATGAAAAATATAATATTACACAGTACCTTTCGTGTGAATAGACTTTCTGCCATCCGCCGAAAACTTTGTTGCTAGAAACTTCGGTAATATCTGGCATCTGGAAACATTTTTCCATGTTAGAACTAATTAAATTTTTACATTTTAACTACTTTTAAATATATTTCAATAATTTTGTTTGAACATCGTCACTTCATTCATTATTAGAGGGTTATGTAGGGTTAATAAAAAATTGAAATCATTCGGCACATTTAAAATCTTATGTTATTTGAAATAAAAAGGAAAAAAGAAAGGTTTATTTTATTAAATTAACTGTTTTTTTTATTCCTCCTTAATTTTGTAATATATTTAAAATATAAAGTAGGTATTATTGTGATTATCATACCTTTTATTATAATGCGAAAAATTACGTACAATATCTGTGATTTGCCACGGACTTTGAATAGTTATGAGTTATAAAACTCTTAATATAATAAAACTATCAGTTATACATAATCAACATGATGCATGCGTAATCAAATAAATTGATAACAGTTTTGGGAAACACTCGTATATGCTGAATCTATAGTATAATATGTATGTTATATTATGTATGTTTCATTGTAATGAAAGAAAGTAATGTAACCTAAAAGTAATTAGCTGGTGTTTTAATATATATTAAATGGGTACCATATTTCTAAAAGTCCCGTTTTTGGCAATAAATCATTTTTCATTAACATTTTTAATTATCTTTTAAATATTGCTTAAAATTCTTATTTTACATGCTATTCCTGGTAAATATATATAATAAGAAATAAATTAATATACAATGTTTAAAAAATTATATTAAAAAGCTTTTTTCATTGATTGTACTTTCACGGAAGCTTCTACAGATAATTGTTTCTGCTTTATATTCCTCCTTGATGTACTTTGTATTGGAACAACTGAAATATAATAATTTTAGATGACTGATAAATTTTTATAATTTAAATTATTATATATGCTTTTATGGACATACTTTCGAATTGTGGTTCTATATTGATGACATTTCTACTACTTCCCTTAGATGATCCATAAACACTTTCTCTATTTGTACTTTTTGGTAAACATTCTGATAAGTTTGTATTACTATGAGAATGATTAGATCCTGGCGATTGGCCTAATAAATTTGTAGGTAACTGTATATTCTGTGATGCTAACAATTTTTTAATGTAAGGCTCAACTTCTATATGATGAACTGTAAATTCTGCAATATCTTGCAAAGCAATGGAATTTTGTTCTTGCAGTTCACGTAATTCTATCTCTTTCTATTGAATGTAAAGTAAGATAAGTTTATATAATATATTTTATAGTTACTATAAAATACATTATGTAGTTTACAAACCTGTTGTATGAGCACAGTTTTGTCTCCTGTACTTTCATACAATCGTTGAATACTTTTCTGGGCATTCTGTAAACTTTTATCAGCTCTTGATATTTTTTCTTTTTGTTCACGAATGTGATGTTTCAAGTCAGTTAAATATTGGTTTTTATTTTCTTTGCATTCTTGAGTTTCCTCTATATTTTCAAGAATTTTCACATAGTCATTTTGTATTTTCTATTAAAATCATTTTATTTTATGATTGGATATACTTCTTATTTCTTAAGATTATGTTCAACTAAGTATATTGTAGAATACCTGCATATTTTCAGTTAAACACTGTAATTCTTCCTTTTTTTGCTTCAAATGTTGTTCTGCATTCTGCAGTTCTTCATCCAATTTTTTATGTTCTTCTATTTCTGGTTTATTTTGATCATCTGTTGTTAAGGATACCTTATATTTGTCATTACAAACATTTATTACTCGTAATGTATTTTCCATGGCTTGTATTTCATCTTCAGTTTTTCTTATTGTTTCATCTAATTGATCACCCTGTTCTTGTAAAAGATATCTTTCTTGTGCACTTTGAATCTTCATATGAGTAGTACTCATTGGAGTTCCATCAGGATTAGTACCTAACAATGCTATGTAATTGTCATACCTTGCCTGTAATTGCTTTATTCGTGTTTTTCTCTCAGCAATAGCACTTCTTAATTCTGAACATTCACCATCTACAATTCTTTTTTGTACTATTAGAGATTCCTTCTGTACAACAATTTCTGCTTTTCGTTCCCGCATTGCCTAAATAATATTATCAAAATTTTATATGTTACTTTAATATTTTAAATTGCTAATTATTTGATATTTTTATTAATGTTAAAAGTATTATCCTATGAAAAACGTACTGCTTCTAATTCAAGTCTATATCTTTCCAAATCATAAACATTTTCTCCTATATTACACATCATTTTCTCCATTTGAGATACTCTAAGTCGTAGCATACTTTCTTCTACTTGTTTCTCCTCATAACAATTTTGAGCAGCTTTTAATTGTTTTTCTCCTGCATTCATTAGAAGAACAAGATCTTGTTTTTTATTTTGTAAATATTCTAATTCATTGTTATCTTGTGCTATACTATTTGAAATTTTCCTCATATTATCCTATACAATAAGCAAATATGTTCAGTGTATTATTTTGTAAATAACTTATTTTGAAACAACTTACTTCTAAAGTGGCAATCTGTTTTTGCAATAACTTAGACACTTTCATTTTTTCATCTAAAATATTTTGAAGATCTTCAATCTTTTTTTGTTTTTTCTCAACTTCAGACTTGTTATATTCAAGCCCTTTTAATCTGTTCAATTTCATCTCATATTTTCGCACTTCGAATTCTGCTTGGTAGGATACTTCCTTTTTATCCTCTAAAATATGTTCTTCTTTGGTATGTAATTTGTCTAAATATTCACATTTTTTAGATTCCTTTTCATATTCCATCTTTAAAACTTTATTCTCATTTTGTAAATCTTTTATTTGATTCATTACACGTAAATTTGCCATTTGTAATCGATTCATTTCTTTAGTCATTTTGGACTTTTTTTTCTCTTGCTCCTATATTGTTTCATAATATATTATTTTATTTTATATAACAACAATTATTTAGCAATAAATACCTCTATCATCTCTTCTAGTTCTTTTGCCTTTTCTTCAATGTCCACTTTTTGATTGGTAATGTCTTGCAATTTTGCAGTTAAATCTATTACTTGTTTA